TCTTTTAGTTCGTTTGTTTTGTTTGTTTGTTTTTTTTTTTTCAGTTTGTTTTACAATGTAGAATTTATTTATTTATTTATTTATTTATTTTTGTTCCGTTTTCCTGGGGAATACCGGTCGAGCGGTGCTAGGTACCCCGTCCGACGCGGTGTGTTAACTCATGTCTAATCCTGTCGAGCAGTTGCCAACCCACCCCCATACCCCCCCCAAAAAAAAAATAATAATAATAATAAAGGAGAAGAAGAAAAAGTTTGTGTCTGATCGTGTGGAGCAGTAGACAGCAAATTTGTACTCAGGCGCTCCCTCCACAGCCCGTACCTATCCTGAGTTATCTTTTTTTTTCGTTCTTCACTCGCCCATGTTATTGTTAGCCTTGTCAGCTTACTTCTCTGTACGTCGTCTTTTTCTTTTCTTTTTTTTTTTGAAGGATAGTACCACTAGTACCTTTGCCGAGTGGGAACATAGCCGGCCTCGGGTGGGCCTTCGACCTTTTAGGAGGCCGAAATGAAACGACAGCCGCCGACTAGATTTATCAATGGCAGCCGTCATCGAGCCCGGCCTCCAATTTTTTAGGAGTGTTGGGAAACTGGCAGCTTTCCCTAACATTTGTGGAGGTACTAGTGGTTTAAGCCCAACCAATTCAATTACCTGTCGGATCACGACAAGACGGCCTTTCAGGCCTTCTTATGGTCATTATAGTATTATGGAGAACCCTGTTGCAGCCACATCCGTGCTCAAGCCTCCAACGAGGGAACATGTGCGAGCTGCACCCACCCGAAGGTGCGATACCTGCTACAGCAGGTGGGCAATAACGGCCAGGGTTCAGTCGGTAGCATCAGGACCGAACTTCTTCGATGGTTCAGTCACTGTGCCTCCCCTCCGGACCCCTCCCCCAATGAACATCAGCAGTCTGCTCAGTGCCACTCGGGTATCCGTCATCGCAGGGCGCAGCGGAAAGGACAGCTGCAAATCAACAAGGCCCGGCCCCAATTGGGTCCCAAGTTCAAGGATCTAGATGGGCCGATCAGATGGCAAGGGAAGGGGTTCAGAATCTGGAGCGCGAGTACAGAAGCGGAGGAGCCACATCTCGAAGCGGGGGCCAAATCGGTTTGGAAAGAGACTTGTGTCTGCTGAGGCAGGCATTGAACTTTGGGCGAGATGAAGGTTTTCAGGATGATATGAGAGGCCCCACAGGCCTGTTTCAACCTAACTTGAATTATCCTGGAGCAGCGAACGCTTTTCCCCTCGAAGAGGGTTTCTCGGAAGGGCGAGGAGTCAATTGGATGCCTATGGAGCAGGCAGGTGGCCATCACATCTTACCCCCCTGGCAGGAGAGAATGGAGTGGCAGGCGGATAGTTACTCGGGCGATAGGGTTTACCCACAGGCGGGGCCCCCCCAATGGCAGGATACCCGTTGGGAAATGGGTCCACAGGACGGCCGTGGGAGTGGAGTGGAGCAGCCACATCAAATCCCGCAGGCTTATCATCCGCCTGTACCTCTACATCCTACCCCGAGGTATCCTTCCAATCAGTACAACTGGAGGGAGTTAGTCCCACAGAGGCGGGACTCACAGTTAAGGAGAGCTGCCCCCCCGTGGCGTATGGATAGGCCTGGTCCGTCTCGATTGGGTAGGAGTACGAGTGAGGACTGGAGGAACCCGGGAAGGGCTGGGGGAGGTGGCATCAGAGAAAGTGATTGGAGAGACCGGGGTAGGCAGGAAGGGTACGGCTGGGGAGGAGGCGGAGATGCAGAGCGGCCCCCTCCACGTGGGGACAAGCCGCTGTTTAGACCAGGGTCACAGCAGGACAGCAGGGGGAACTTGAATCAGATCCAAGAGGATACAGACAGGACGGAGAAAAGATTGGGGGATCTGTCAAGATCCTCGGCTTCCTCGCACTCTAGGGTGAGATGGGGGAGCGAATGGTATGAAGGGGAGAGAGCCTCGGAACACTCGAAAGACGATCGCTCCTCCATGCTGAGCTCGGCAACCTCCAAGAACTCTGAGAATGAAAGAAGCAAGGACGACGACCCCATGACGCAGCTACAGGATCGCAGAGCGGATACTCTGCAAAAGAGCCAAGCCGAAAAAGTGCAAAGGAGACTCATTCCCCTTCTGTGTACAATGGCGAACAATGGTGCATACTTCTTGGCGTTGGCGCAACCGGATGGGTTGCCGTTATTACCTTCAATTGATGTGGAAAGTCTCCGACCCCATCTGACATTCTTAATTTAACCAGGATGATGTACGGACAACATGTCCCGATACGGCTGATTCCTTGCTCATTCATGGTGAGTCTGATTGTGGAATCGGGTGATCGATTCTATAAGTTATATTTTCCGTTGCTTGATGCTCAGATCCCTCCCGAACTGGCGGATTCCCTGATGCAGGGGGGCGTGAGGTGGGTTTAGCTCGCAGACTTGTCAGTAGAGGAGTTGGACTCTATCAAAGTTCTCCCGGGAATTTTCGCTAGTATCCTAATAACAGTAAATGAGAAACTGCAGGCAGACGAGAGTCTTCTATCTCCCTTTCTAGCAAAGACGCTGACCTCGGATTGGCAGGTTGTCTCAGAATCTAACTCCTCCCGAGGCAGCATGCGGGACAAGTCTAGATCCTCTCGTAGATCGCTGGACTCTAGAGCCTTGGTGGTAGACAGATCTTCACATCATCAGTCAAGACAATCCCAGGTACCGACTCGCATCCAAGAGCAAGCGGAAGCAGAACAAGGAAATGGATAAGCTCAAGCTGGTGTCATGGAATGTTAGGGGACTAGGGGAGCTGAGTGAAGAAAATATTAGTGAGTTGGGTGACTGGTGGCAGGGACCTCAAATCTGGTCCCCTGCTCAGGGTACTCGCAGGGGTGTATGCATACTACTGCATAAAGACTTACAGGTACGAGTGATTGACAAGGAGGCTGATATCTGGGGTCGTTGGGCCTGGATGCAGTTAGAGGTGGGGAGGGAAGAATGGGTTCTTATGACGGTGTATGCGCCAAATAAACAGAAGGAAAGGGAAGTGTTCTTCAGAAACCTTAGCTCTAATATTCCTAAGGTGGAGAAGATCATTATTGCGGGGGACTGGAACAGGTCCCTGGATGAGACGCTGCGCCCAGACTCAGAATCTACAGGAAAGAAGGACGTGGAACAACTATTGGTCCTCATAGAAGCCCTTACACCTGGTTTTCTCATCTTCATCAGGACAGGCAATGTGTGACTAGATGCAGGTTGGACTATGTGTTAGCTTCTGAGCAGCTGCTGCCCAGGGTAACGGCGGTCCGCCAAACGTGTCACCCCCTGTCAGATCACAAGCCAGTGACAACGGAGGTTAGACTGCTGGAGGGGTGTGAGAGAGGGAAAGACTTTTTCAGACTCAATAAACAGGTCCTGGAAAACCCAGGTATTTGTGCATGGATTGATGATCACATGGCTAGATGGGAAAACGCAAGGGAATTTTTCCCGGGGCCAGCAGATTGGATGGACAGTGGGTTGGCAATCGTTTCAGGGGTGTTGGATATCTGTTCTCGCATGCTGGCAAAGGCGAGGAACGTGAAGGAGACGACTTGCAAGAGGAGGATGGAAGAGGCAGAAGAGAGGATGGAGGGCCACCCTATCTCAACAATGGTGTGGGCGGCAGAAAGGGAAAGGCGGATGGAAGAGTGGGACAAAATGCAACTCGAGAAACAGAAAAGAAGTTTATGATCAGATGACTAAAGAAACTTTTCAGAAGTTGCAGCCGCAACGCACCTACCAACAGACGGTAGAACTCCGCCACCCCTTCGACGAGACTGCACCAAACGCATCTACGGCCTCGGGTATGCTTCACTACGCCAAGCTTTACTATGAAGATATCCTGACCTCGAGACGCCCACAGGAAGAACCGACATCTGATCTCTCTGAAGACTCTGATATGTGGGAAGATACAATTGTGAAGTTGTCCGACACCGCGAGACTGGACCTAGACCGCGCGGTGTCCTTGAAAGAACTCACGCAGACAGTGAAATCTATGGCTAAGGGGAAATCTCCGGGGATTGATGGCCTAATGATGGAATTTTACAGTGCTACTTGGGCCTCAATAGGCCCAAGGTTAGTAGAATTGTATAATTTGGTCCTAACGAGCGGGCGACTTGGAAAATGTATGACACATGGGATCATCAGCATGCTGTTCAAGAAGGGGGACAAGACAGAAGTAAGGAACTGGCGTCCTATCTCGCTCTTGAACGTCTCCTACAAGATTTTGGCGAAGACGTTGGCACGAAGGTTGGGGAACCATCTACCGGATCTAGTGGAAGGGGATCAGGGTGCTTTCGTATGGGGCCGATTGATCTTTAACAATATTGTGACCGCTTTGGAAGTTTTGGAAATGGTTCAGTCGGAGGATCTGAACACTGCAGTGCTCTCACTATATTTGGAGAAGGCCTACGATAAGGTAAGCTGGCCGTTTGTGTTTACAACCCTGAAGAGAATGGGTTTTGGCTCCTCCTTCTGTAAGTAGACAGTAGCCATGTATACATTGTCAACTTCCGCGGTCATGATAAATGAACACCTATCGTCCTCTTTCAAACTTTCCCGCTCGTTGAGGCAGGGCTGCCCCCTGGCCCCGCTCCTTTTCGTATTGCAGATGGAGGTTTTGCTGAACAGAATCCGCCGCAATCCAGTAATAAAAGGGTTGAACCTGCACAGTGGCTCGCAGTGTAAAGTTAAGTATGGAGGTTTTGCTGAACAAAATCCGCCGCAATCCAGTGATAAAAGGGTTGAACCTGCACAGTGGCTCGCAGTGTAAAGTTAAGGCTCTCGCCGATGACCTGTTTGTCATTAGCGAGAATTCGAAGGACTCATTAAACACTCTGAAGGGTTTGCTGGTGGAGTACTCGACCCTTTCGAAAGCAACTGTGAATTGGAACAAGTCGGTTTTCCTGTTGCCAACACAGTTCGAACTAACTGTTCAATGGGGTATGAAGAGAATCAAAGAGGGAGAAGAAAAGAAGTTTTTGGGGGTGCTGGTTAGTTTGCAGGTGGGGGTTTCGACTCAAGGTTTGCTGCTGCAGCAAAAAGTAACAGCAAGACTTCATATGTGGGGCCTGGTCTCGCACCTGTCAGCGATAGGGAGAGCTCTCGTTGCAAATGTGGCACTGTTCTTCATTATGTGGTTTTTAAGTTCGGTTAGGGCTATCTCTGACAGCGTGTGGAAAGTCATTAAAAGGCAGGTGGCGCGGTTCATCTGGAAACCAAGGGCCAAGGAGGGAGAGGGGTATTTGGCTAAGGTGGCATGGGACTTGCTTACCTTCCCACGCGCAGAGGGGGGGCTGAACTTGGCCGACCCAGCAAAGAGAAATCAAGCCCAGCTTAGCATGGGGCTGGTCAAAGTGGCCAACACCCCGAAGAAGGAACATTGGATGGAGCTTGCAGAACATATTCTCATGAAGGAGTGGAAGTTGAGCCGTCCACTGGACGTCTGGCACTGCTTCTTCATTCCTTCCTTCTGTCGAAAGAGGTTGAAGTCAAGTTTCTGGCGGGAGGTGATAAAAGCCTGGAACAGTTTACCACCAGAGGGATGTACTAATCCAGCAACAAAGGAGGAAGTGCAGACCCAGCTGCTGTTTGAAAATCCTCGGATTACAATTGGGGATGGCGAGTGGTTCAAGGCGGACGACTCCACTGGTACTTTCGGTGCAGCCTGGGTTCGGAAGGGAATGGTCACTATTGGGGACTTGTGGAACCCAATTCTAGGAACTTGGAAAACGTTGCCTGAGTTGTTGGACGTTCTGCATCCACTGAGGAATGTGGAAACTCGTAGAAATCAGCTGCTGGAAGCCATTCGGAGGAGTGGCATCGACTCTTGAGCCCGGAGGGAGTGGACCCAATTAACACCTGGTATTGTCCAGAAATGGTTGGGTCAGCGGAAGTCTGGAAGGTGTTGGAGATTCTTCCAAGTGGCTTCCGAAGAGTCCAGGTCTGGTCCTGTCAACAGCACTCAAATGAACTGTGCCTCTTGAATGAAAAGGTAGTCATGACTTGGGAGAACCCTCCCCAGGTATGAGTGGTGGGGCTCGGGGTTACCACGGAGCAAAAGAGAAAATGGGTTTGGGTAGGGCACACACCGTTGAGGAAACTGTGTATTGATCCTGATGCATGGTCGTGGCACACGGGAGACGCAAACAGTCCCAAGCTTCGGTTATCTGAGTATTCGGTAGCGAAGGGCTACAAGTTGAGATTGAGCAGGCGGAACAGATACTCTCCTACGGAAGTAGCAATCAGAAGGTGGCAGGCAGTAACATCAGAAGATCTGTCAGACGCGGGTTCATCCTTAACCTCTGGGATACGCTGTCCAAACTCCCGAATGGTAAGCAAGTTCCCATCTTATGGATGATTTCCTTGCTAGTGACCCCCTCTGCCGTGTGGTTAACAAGTAGAGGAGTGCAGGTCGAGATTAAGTGTTCGCGTTGCTCCTGGCCCTTCGAATCAACGCGTCATCTTTGGTGGGAATGCCCAGCCTCTCGTAGAATTTGGAAATGGTGGAATCAACACTGGGAACGATTCGGAGATCCAAGAGTGGTCTGGGAAGAAAAGTGGGTGTTATTCGGCTTCTTACCGACAGAAATGCACAGGAAACGAGGTTGGGGATATGTTGCCCAGGTTGTGAGGGGCCTGCTCTGTGAGATCATTTGGAAGGACAGGAACAGAGCAAGGTTTGAAAACAGGCCACTGTCTGACTTGGAGATTAAAAGGAAGGTAAGGAGAGGTTTGAGGGAGGCGATTAAGGCGGACTGGAGAAAGAGGGCCAAGGCTGGAAAAGGGAGTAGTAGACAGCTTCGCTGGTTCTTGAACACGTGGACACTTAATCATCAGTTGGCAGGTGTACACAGGACAAAGGGCCTGGTCCTCTCCCCTTGGGTGAAAGATCAGACAGCTGAAATGGGGGGATATCCTGGGTTCCCTGTGTCCCCAGGCGGTAAGTAGTGGGCTGGCAGTCAGGGTAAGTAGTGGGCTGGCAGTCAGGGTGGACTGGCCGCCGAGTCAATAGCGCCTGGTGGTTGGGGGAGGAGCGGGTAAAGGTACAGTTGGATTTCACAGTGGCGCAACCGGGGGTCTCCCCCGGGAGGGATCTCAGTGGAGGAGGTCTGAGTGGAAGAGCAGGCCGTGGAGCTGAGTTAACTAACTAGTGCTGACAGTTCTTTAGAGTAGGGAGGGGAACCAGGGCACTCTGTTCCCCACTTAGGAATAGTTTTCTGCCGCAGGAGGCAGCAAGTGGGAGGAAGGTGGTAGAGTGGCATCCTAGAAGGAACACGAGTTCCAAGCAGCCGCAGATAGGCTGCTTGCAGGCCAATAGTAGGCCTGCCCTTTGCGTGACAGTAGGTAGGTTAATTGGCGAAATACGTCTAAGGTCTGAGCGTACTGTAAGTAGGATCAATTTGCTGTGAGTTGTGATAGGAGTATGAGTAGTGGGACTGGCAACAAAGTTTTAAAGTATATGGGTTTTAAGATTGGTCTGGTGCATTGAGTACTAAAAGCATGGAAGTAGCTGAGTTACCATGAAGATAAGCTAAACCGGCTGATGCTGCCGGGATAACTCCGGGTTGAATTGTGAGGTCCCCGGCCTCTATTCTGTTCGTTGTATTGGTAATAAGGTGTGTTTTCAAAAAAAAGAAAAAAAAAAAGATTTTTGTATTGCAATGCTGCATAACATTATCTTTTTTTCATTTTTTTATTTTTTTTATTTTTTTTTAAGATGGATTTTTTTGCGGGTAGGGTTGGGGTAAGCGAATGGAACAGGACAGTCTGGACCGGACAACAGACCCAGAAATCCAGACCCAGGGGAGAAAAACAAAATCCCTCATATACATCGTTCACACGCTGATGCATCCTTCCGTTTGGCTGAAGCATCCCTGATCAGCATCAATTTCACCCTGTTGCAGGAGGATTGACTGTTCAGCTTGCCTTTCTCATATATTCCTCTCAGGTCCGATCCGTGGACCTGTCAGATCTGACCATACACACATCAAGAATCATAAGGAGTCCTTCCATCCTTCAGGTTGTCGTCAGTGTGTACGGCTCCGGGGCCTCTCTGTCTAAGAGTTCTGCCGCTATACTGGATGAAATCTCTGATTTATGCCAGTCCTCAAATTTCGGTCGCATGTCGTTAATGTATATGCCACCTTGTCCTGGGCTACCGGTAGCCAGATTCTCCTGTGCATTGCGAGGTGTATCTGGCTTGTGTCCGATGAGTTCCGAACCATCTCCTTAACCTTATGCCAAGCTTTTATTTTTCTCCCTCTTCTTCTTCTTCTTCTTCGTCTTCGTCTTCTTCGTCTTCGTCTTCTTCTTAAACCCATTTGCACGTGGCATGCAAATAAACGGTTTGGTTACCATCAGTCGACTCTAATCCCAAAACGAGAAAACACGCAGTCCACTGCATGTGGCATGCAAATAAAAACAGAACAAGATACAAGGTTAACCCATTTGCTTCAGCCGAAAAAGAAGCAATTGCATCTCTTCCTATCCTACTACCTCCTACCTCATCCTCTTTCTCTCTTCCATATCCCATCAACATTCATCATTATACAAATATCCTATTCCTCTCTCTCTCTCTCTCTCTCTCTCTCTCTCTCTCTCTCTCTCTCTCTCTCTCTCTCTCTCTCTCTCTCTCTTTTCCAGCCTCTGTTTCAAAACTTGGCGGACTGGTCGTAATCTCGGAAACCACTAAGGTATTCTTCCAGCTGGGTTTCTGCCTTTTCCCGCTTTCGCTCGATAACTATCTCGCTTCTCGACTTGGCTTTTTCAACAGGCACCAGTCTGTAGCTATCCTCTCTCACGCAAAACACCTCCTGCGATCTGTCCCTGTCTCTTCCAGTTGGCACTTCCACCACCACATTTGCTCTCTCGATGATTCGCTTTTTCCCATCGAGCACATACACCTCCTCATAGTCCAGCATGAAATCTTCATCCTCTACCTTTCGGTTATCTAGATGCTTGATTAGGAAAACTTTATGAACCTCCCACTTTGTGGTGATGAAGGGAGCTCGAGGAGTATCTTGCGGAGGTAATCTATATGTAATAATCTCCCACTTGCTAGCCGTGCATCTAATTGGGGTTTTAGGCATATTCCCAACCATCTGAGCTACCGTATAGATGTCGGTATCGGGAGGGGTGACATAACACTCGCTAAAGTCAAAAACATCATTCTTCCGCTTTTTTTTCTTCATTCTCCTTAGCCATTCCTCCTCCTCCTCCTCCTCCTCCTCCTCCTCCTCCTCTTCTTCTTCTTCATTTGCCACTTCGTTTTCAATTATCTTCACCTCCTCCTCCACCTCCTCCTCCTCCTCCTCCTCCTCCTCCTCATCATCATCATCATCATCATCATCATCATCATCAACGACAGAATTCACTCCACGTCCTCGTCGTTTCTTCACAGCGGTCGGAAGCCTTCCTTTCCTAATGAAGAAATCGCACTGATGCAGAGAAATCTTGTGGAACTTCCTCTCATCAATCTTGAAACCCACTGGCAAGTCGTCAAAGAGAGGAGCGTCCGCGTCCGACACACCGTAATCAGTGAGTGGCATTTCATAATGAGCGGATTTGAACTCCTCCTCCGTCGGGTCTTGATCTTCATCTAGGTCGATCTCGTTGTCGTCTCCATCATCGTTGTATTCGAAAGCCCTCACCAGCAGTTGTTCTCCTACCCCCCGCCTCTCTTTCCTCGCCCCCCTTCTCCCGCCGCTCGCCTTCGTCCCACGCCCCATCCTCCATCCCCTCCCTGCGCGCATGCCCGCCGTCACGTTCCGCTCCGTTGTGGATATCAGTGTCCCGCGCATTGGCGCGCTCCCTGTTAGCCGCCGCGAACAGAAGGCGCGAAACAGCGTCAGTGCCACGTGGCTAACCGATGCTCTCTGGGAAGTCCAAGCTCGGCGCGGCCACGTGGCATGCTGCTGCGCCGAATCGACCGCATGTTTGTGGACCCCCACCCCCACTCCCCCTCTCCCTCTAGCCATCTTCCATGGGGTCGGACAATACAAGCACGTTGACGTCATATCGTAATTACGACCCGGGTGTTTCCCGCCACTTCACCCCAAGCAC